GGAAAGTGAGCACTTTCCACCCGGGTGGAAAGTAAAATTCAAAAAAGTGTCACTTTCAAACTTTTGAAAAGTCAGAAATGTCAACATTACGTATGTGGTTGTAAATAAACTTATTTTATGATAAAAGTTGCATTGATAGTGGGGCTTGCAGGAGCTTGCAGGCGTACTGAATTGACAAATTTGCACCTTCAAAATGTTAAAGATGAAGGCCAATGCATTCATATCAATATTCCATTTACGAAAACAAAGATACCACGAGATTTTTTCATCACAAAGGGGAATGTTGAAGGAATAAATATGGTGGAAATGGTTCGAAGATATATAGCCATGCGGCCAAGCAACACAAATCATATCCGATTTTTTGTGGCGTATAGAAATGGGAAATGTACTAAGCAGCCAGTTGGCATTAATACTTTTGGGAAAATGCCATGTAATATAGCATCGTTCCTGAATCTCCCAGATCCTGAACGTTACACTGGACATTGTTTTCGCAGATCGTCTGCGTCGTTGCTTGCCGATTCAGGAGCAGATTTATTAACTGTGAAGAGGCATGGTGGTTGGCGCTCTAACACAGTCGCTGAAAGCTACATAGAAGATTCCAAAGAAAATAAGAAGAAAGTGTCCACCAATATTTTGGGTAATGTTCCAGCTACTGATGGCCCTTCAACAAGTTTAAGCAATAAGCACGCGGGAAATAAATTTACTTTCCAAGAATTCAGCCCACTTATCAACTGCTGGTATTAATTTGTCAAATTGTTCGGAATTTGTTATTAATGTTTATAATAAGTGATTTTTTTTATAATTACTAAATAAATTAATGTGGTATCAAACTCCCTTTTTGGATATTTTTAATTTTTTTTGTTTATTTAATTTGGGTGTTATTATGAATTCTTAAACGCACTAGTGCTATTATGAACGTCTTAATGACATTTAAATGAGGTTGATAAATGTGTCATAATGACACTGACGTAGATTAAAGGTATTAAAAGTTACCTATATACTTGTAGAAACATAAACAACTTTTTTGATGTACCGAGATGATTTTTTTTTTAAATTTTAACAAGTCATAATACTTACCATTAACAAAATGTTTTGAACAAATACGAGCATTTTTCAGAAACGTTTCAGTTAAATCTCACCACAGATTTCGTCGTTCCTTTTTTAGCTCGTTTAGACGATTCCCTAGATCTCTTAATGCTGCTGGGATCCTGAAAAACTGATCGGTTATGACATTAACCTGGAATGCCTAATTATAAATAAAAATAATTATTATGAATTTTTCAGCAAATAGTGGAATATTTTAAATAAAATAATAATGTCCCGAAATGAACAAGTCCTAAGGGCTCAAGTGAAGATGGAACTGAAGGATAAAAGGCGATGCGCTTGTTTCCCATTTGAATGTGGAGGACTCCAAATATTGTTTGAAACACATATTGCAAGACAAAAATGCCGCCGCCTTCAGGCAATGCAATTTCTTCTATCAGAGCAGCGGAAAAAGGTGCCATCGGGCAGCCGCCAAGAAGGAGAAAAAAGAACATGGGTAAGCAACATAATCATTGATATAATAATTATTGGACTTTATAACAATTTACATAATCATTTAGTCTAGGGTGACCATACGTACAGCATTTCGCTGTATTGTACAGCATTTTGAGAGTCTGTCCAGCATTTAATTTTGTACAGCAAACGTACAGCGATTCGGATCATGAATAAGTTTTTCTTAAAAATTGTACATTGTACCAAAGAATATTATAGACTAACGTCTCTAGAAGTAAAATATTTGCTTTGCATGCATAGGAAAACAGACGCGTTACCAATGTTGAGAATTGGGAATTAGCCGATGCCACGAATGATAAGTACTTCGATAATTAAAACTCGGTTATTGAATAAAAATGCTTCGTTTGGGGGGGGCACTTAGTTAAAATGTTGAGAGGCAACCCGACCGTTCAAAGTGAAGCTTGAAATCTGAATCTGATGTTTTCAGCGTGAAGATGGAATGCTATATGCTACTCTATTCACCTAAATTTGCACAATTTCGCATGCCTATTTTCAAATTTTGCACACTTTTCTGAGGAAAGTTAAAGTAAAGTGTGTTTTTTTTTTTAAAGATAAAAGTCAAAATGACATTAAGTTGGCAATGCAATGTAAAATTGTCAATGCTTTCAATTTTTTTATGTAGAAAAGGCTTGTGTTACCAGCATAGTTACTAAATTTTTGACTTGTGGAATTATCTTAAAAAAAAAAACAGATTTTATGTTTTTTTTAAAAAATAATTTCCTTTGACTTTTATCTTTAAAAAAAAAACTTTATGATGTATTAAAAATTGGCGGGAATCCGCCGTTTGTCGAAAAATTGAATAATTTTATGCTGCTCGCCATAGGCGCAACTAGGGGATGCTTGGAGGTGCTAAGCACCTTTAAAGCAAAAATTAGCACTCCCATTCGGCATATCACTTTTCCGCGATTCTAAATTCACTTTTCCGCGATTGTAAACCCACTTTTCCGCACATATTACCTCATTTTTCCGCAATTTTTATCTCACTTTTTCACAAATTCACACTCACTTTTTTTGAAATTTTTAACTCATTTATTTTGCGATTTTTGACCCACTTTTTTGCAATTTTGTTTTCACTTTTTTGCGATTTTTGGCTCTTTTTTTTACGATTTTTGACTATCTTCCTTTGCGAATTTGTCCTTACTTTTTTTTTGCGATTTTTACCTCACTTTTTTGCGATTTTACCCTCACTCCTCGGCGATTACAAACTTATTTTTCCGCTATTTCATCCTCATTTTTCCGCGATTCTTACCTCATTTTTCTGCGATTGTTTCCCTACTCTCCGCGATTTTATCTCCACTTTTCCGCTAATTTGACCTCACTTTTTTTGTGATTTTTTTTTTTTTTTTTTTTTTTGACTCATTTTTTTACAATTTTACCATCACTTACCGCAATTCTAAATCCACTTTTTCACGATTGTAAGCCCATTTTTCTGTAAATATAATCTCCTTTTTCCGCGATTCTTGTCTCACTTTTTTTTGCGATGTTATCCTCACTTTTCCGCGATTTTATCCTCACTTTTCGTGACTTTAATCCTTATTTTTCCGTGAGTCTCATCTTCATTTTCCGCGAGCTTAAATTCACTCTTTTTGAAATTTTTGACTCATATTTTTCTTGTGATTTTTGACTCTTTTTTTTGCAATTTTATCATCACTTTCCGCGATTTTATCCTCATTTTTCCTCATTTCAAAATTACGAAAATAATGATAATTTTTGAAAAGTTACGAAAAATTACGGGAATTACGTTAAAGTACGTAAAATATGAAAAATTAGAGAGAATTGCAAACATTTACGAGAATTACAGAACATTACGAGAAGAAAATTACAAAAATTATGGGAATTGCCAAATATTACGCAAAAGAATTACGAAGTTACTCCAAAATTATCCAAAATTACGAAAAATAATGGGAATTATAAAAACTTACGGAACCTAGTAAAATGACGGAAATGACGAAAATTTGCGGGAATTATGAGAAATTACGGGAATTGAAAAAAATACAAAAAACTACGAAAATTACAAAAATTACGGGTATTACGAAATATTACGGAAAAGAATTACAAAGTCATTTCAAAATTACGTGAACTATGGTAATTCCCAAAATAACGGAAATCACAAGTTTTTGAAATTACGAAAATTACAATAACTTAGAGAGAATTAGAAAATTCCGATTTTTTTTGGAAATTAGGAAAATTGAAAATTAAAAAATTGAAAATATAAATAATTACTGGAAAAAGCGCGAAAAATTGCGGGAATAACGAAAATTACCAAATTTTCCAAAAATTGAAAAAAATAAGGGGGAATTAGAAAATAACAAGAATTATCTGAGAAATGACAGGAATTAAAAAATTTCGAAAACTTTTTTTTTTGACAGGTCCAATGACACCTATAATTTTTTTTTTTTTTTTTTTTTAAGTATGTCATTTTTTTTTGACAGGTTCAGTAATATGTTTTTTTTTTTTTTTTTCAAACGTCATTTTTTGGCAGGTCCTATAATATGAAAAAAAAAATTATTTTTCAAATGTCATTTTTTGACAGATCGAAACATAAAACAAAAAAAAAATGTTTTTTTAAACGTAATTTTTTGACAGGTCCAAACTTATAAAAAAAAAAATATTTTTTTCAAACGTCATTTTTTGACAGGTCCAATCCTATAAAAAAAATAAAAAAATTCAAATGATTTTTTTTTTTCTTTTTTAAGTGTCATTTTTTTTGACAGGTCCAATATGATTTTTTTTTTCAAACGTCATTTTTTGACAGGTCCAATCCTATAAAAAAAAACATTTTTCAAATTACAGGTCCGATGACACCTATAAATTATTTTTTTATTTGTTTTTCAAGTATCATTTTTTTTTGACAGGTCCAATAATATGAAAAAGTTTTTTTTTTTTTTCAAACGTCATTTTTTTCACAGGTCCAAAGTTATAAAAAAATTTTTTTTTTTTTTAAACGTCATTTTTTGACAGGTCCAATCCTATAAAAAAAAAAAAAATCCAAATTACAGGTTTAATGACACCTATAAATTTTTTTTTTTTTTTTTTTTTCAAGTGTCATTTTTTTTTCACAGGTCCAATACATAATATGTTTTTTTTTTTTTTTTCAAATGTCATTTTTTGACCAGTCCAAATTTATGAAAAAATTTTTTTTTTCTTTAAACGTCATTTTTTGACAGGTCCAATCTTATAAAAAAAATTTTTTTTTCAAATGTATTTTTTTTTTTTTTGACAAAAAAAAAAATCCAAATTACAGGTTTAATGACACCTATAATTTTTTTTTTTTTTTTTTTTTTCAAGTGTGTCCTTTTTTTTTGATAGGTCCAATAATATGAATTTTTTTTTTTTTTTTTCAAATGTCTTTTTTTTTGACAGGTACAATGATATGAATTTTTTTTTTTAAATGTCATTTTTTGACAGGTTCAAACTTAAAAAAAAATATTTTTTTTCAAACCTCATTTTTTGACAGGTCCAATCCTATAAAAAAAAATAAAAAAATTCAAATGAATTTTTTTTTTGACAGGTCCAATGACACCTATAATTTTTTTTTTTTTTTGACAGGTCCAATATATTTTTTTTTTTTTCAAGTAAGTAGCAGCACATTTTGGCAAAAGTATTATTTAGTTATTTTTGCGTTCAGCCCATTACCTAAAATATTAAATCATACCTAGTGATTTATATACAATTTCACACACTGGTTTTATATGACAAATACATACCATATTTCCTTTATGAAAAACATTCAATTAATTGGCGTCAGCGTTAATAAAGTCGAATTTGCCAAAAGCAGTTTAATAGAATCGAAGCCCAATTCACCCAATTTTTATAAGCTCATAACTTTCTTGTTTTTGGACCGATTTTCAAAAACAAAAAATGATTTTGTAGGTATTTTTATTGGCAACAATTTTGCTCTCTTGTAATTTTTTAAAAAAGTTCATAGTTTTTGATATATTTCCAAAGAAATAAAAAAAGCACAATTTTTTGAGTTTAAAGCCGGATTGGGCGAGTACGGCACATGCGATTTTAGTACGGGATACGAGGCCTATTTCATCAAATCATTTCACACCGTCTTGCATTGTTATCATCAGTTAGATAATATGGTGCTGAAACGCACTTGTGCAAGGAAATAGTTGGGGGTGGGGGATTTCGCCGAAAAAAATGTTTAAGCAGATGTCGTCATAAACGAGGAAAATATATAATTATACACCGTCTTGCATTCATTTATTCAGTTAATTTGTACACAAACAGAATTGGATCAACCTATGCAAGACATTTTCATGGGGGCGAGGGTTTGAAATATTAGATAGAAAGTGTCCATTTTTGAGTGGGGTCAAATATCATTTTACACCTCCTGTGGCGGGATTACGGGCCGCAAGACGGAAGTTAATGCGTTGTCTTATGAGAGAATGAAAAATCATTTTACACCGTCTTGCACTAGCACCAATGGGGAAAACAGAATACATTGATAACATTTTTGAAAATACAAGACGTTCTAAATAAGAAAAAAGGACTGCAAGACGGAGATGAAGATGACTAACTTTGACGGGGGTCACAATCCACCTGGGCACCTGGTATAAAGGTGAATAATACTCCAAATAACAAATTACGCACATTAATTTCAGATTTTTTTGCTATTGTCCACGTGGATTAATTCTATTTTGCAAAATTGCATATCTCTACGAGCATCAAATGAAAAAAGATTGAAAACTGTTGATTTTTTTTGACGGCTTATGATCATTTAAGTTCTTTTTGGGGTAGATACAACACATAACTCATACCGGATTGTAAGCAATACATTTGAAAAAAAAAAAAACATTACATCACTTTTATTAAATTGTTTTAACAAAGATTTAAAACAAAACAGGTGACACACTGCAGAAATGAAATAAGTCTTAAAAAACTTGATGCAAGAAACAGGAAATCTGTTCCATTATCACACGATACATATATTCAAATGAGGCAGAGAGCACACTGGCGAAATAATTTCTGCTTTGTTTTTCAGAAACTCCAGTGTCCTCCGTCTCATTTGAATGTATGTGTCGTGTGATAATGAAACAAATTTCCAGTTTCTTGCAACAAGTTCCATGAAACTTATTTCTCCAATGTGTCACCTGCCCAACTAATCAGTTCCACTTCCAAAATCAGTATCTTCAAAATCTAAAGGAGTGTATTCGTACGTAGTTTCTTCTACGCCAAGGTCTTCATTGTCGCTGCCATCATCCTCACTCGTATCGAATTCGTATTTGACGTCCGTATTGGAAATTTCCTCATCATCGTCTTCATCACTATCTTCACGATCTGAAAGTTTATATGTATATGATTAAATAGAAGCTGTTTGCAACATGTATTTTTGTTGTCGTTGACGCTATATCATTTTCTGGAATTACCTATAACAATATCGCTGATAACTCCTGTAGGTAATGCTGGACCATCAAACCAATTAAATACTAATTTATTTCCCTCCAACTTCCAGCCGCTTTCAGTTGGACTACAGGGTAATATTTGTAACGGGTGTTTCAGATGTGCATGTCGCCACATATGACCTATGTATCTACTTCGTGACAAATGCTGACGAAGTTCTGCTTGACAGGGTGGAATGGTCGACGCGTCGAAATCCATCAAGCGTTTCATAATTCGCTCCTTCGAATTTTTTGTTTGGTACACTTTAGAAAACAGCCCTATACGTGCGTCATTTACATTTTTCATGTTTCTCAAGCAATACATATGACAAACAAATTCTTCCAATGTTGCATATGTTTGTGGTATTATGAGTTCAGAAGAATCAACCAAAATGTTGAAAGAATTTTGGAAACGCGTTGAAGCCTCCAGCAATTTGTATGGCCGCTGCTTTCCTCTTCTACAAAATGCTGGATTCTGGTCGCATCCGGTCAGAGCATGAAATCCCGCCAACGAGCAACTTAGTGTTTCACCCAATTGCTGATACAGTTTTGTAACATTTAAATTCCTCACATTGTTACCAACCCCAAGCCGCATCCATATGGTTAAATTTGTTTTCAAAAACTTCATATTGGCCAGCATTATTATTAACACGTCAGTATCAGAACATCTTATCAAAATATTTGATTTCAATTCAAGGTTGCAAACGTGAAATACTATTTTCGTATCGGCCTCTTCATGACCGTTACAAGTTAAATTGTAGTTAACCGTTGCCGTCCAGATATTGGCCGACAATTTATACTCGTAGCACCGATCATAATTCAAGCGAACTGTCCTGGTGAGTATTACTTTTTCCGCCTCAGGACCACTCCAGTGTCGTATCATAAATTGTACCAGAGCCTCTTTGAATTTGATATTCCTTAGTTCTGTACAGAAATCTGCCGGTCGTGTTTGGTCAGGACCTGATATATGATAAGCATTTGAGTCAAAATTTCCACGTATTTGGTGATGCTCATTGTCTTTTATTGATGGTCGTTTATATATATCAAAAATGATATCAATCACGGTACTATTTCTGTCAAAATTAACGATATATGTAAGAATAGCAAGAGAAATGCCTCCAAAAGTTTTAGGAAGGTTACGCATTTGATGGAGTACAAAAAATCCATCAAAAAGAATTGTTGTGAACTTCGGTGGACTTTCTGTAGTAACTTTATTCTCCAAAAGTCTTAACAGCGCTGATTTGTCTGTTTTATTCACCGATCCATCCAAGTGACAGAGAGATAAGGGAACAGGCGTCAAAGGGTATGACAAAACCTTCTCAATGTCTAGATGTAAATCTTCATGTAAGGAAATTCCTAGAAGCCTTCCGAATAATTTTTTTTGTAACTTCAAACTGTCAACTTTCACATTACTTTTGGTCTGTTTTTTTGAAATGCTACTAAAATTTAATATTTTGCCTCTTGGTATACTCTGTTCAAACCTGCTTTCATTTTCACTACATTCTTGAATAAACTGCTGACGTCTTTGTTTTCCAATTTGCTCCATATTTAATAAAAAATTAGCCACATCCGCGGACGCTGCTCTACCACTTGAAACGTTAAATAAACAGTTCTTATCGATGACAAAAGTAAATGGATTCATTCTTTCATTAAAGCATGCCAACAAATCATGTATTTGGTGGCAAGCTATCATTCTTCTACCTCTCCGCAGATCAGCCGTTATGTCTTCGTTTGTATGCAGTCTACATCGACTTAATACGTGCGTAATAATTGTGCATCTTAAAGCATGACTCCTGGACCATCGTTGTCGAGCGCCAATGGAATTTGTAATATGCATTACGCCCGTCAATCGTTTTGCCGCATCTGCATTGACGGTTTGTTCCAGAGTGAGATCTACGGGCTGTTTCGAAAATGGTTTTTGTGTTCTTTTAATACCAAATATCAAGCTGTTGGACAATCCAGGGTGGGTATTTTCAACATTTACCAAGTTTTGAAGGTATACCAGGCCCCATCTTGAGTAATTTGGCTGATTCATTGCGAAAAAAACATCGATCATTTTCAATAAAGCATATTTAAAAATATTTAAATCGCCTTCGCGCACGCCCCTTGATATAAGTAAGAAGTAATCAATAAGGGTTGTATATAAAAGATAAAATTGTGCCGTTTTGCCATGTTTTCCAGACAAAGTCAGTACTTTATAATTTTTGTATCTTTCAATAAGGTTCTTCAAGTCATCGTTTGTTACGTCCTCCATAGGTACAGGATTTTCCACTAGGGACTTTATATATTCCCTAATATCCTCTGATATGGTAATGTTTTCGTTTTGCAGGAAGCTTTCGAAATGTGCAATTTGGAAACCTAAAGATATAAGAGGGTGTAACCTTTTACATCTATTAAAATTTTTTCCTTTTAAAAAACTTTCAATGGAACCGTTTGCAATTAAATCTGCATCCACTAGCATATTTGTAATTCCACAATCTTTGATGAACTTACCAATTGCATTGAAGAAAGCCAGATAAATATGGAAAGCTCCGAGGTGTATGAAAACTCTGTCATATTTCGGACGCTCCATGTATTGTATTTGATATGCAGGTTTTGCAATGGTTAAATCATAAGTAATTTGCATATAATTTTCACCACATTCGTCCGCTGCCCTTACGGCTTGGTTCAGAGTTTCTATAACTACTGCATTATTAGTTGGTGACGCATTTATTGGTGTTATATACGAAATCTTTTGTCGTGAAAACTGATCATTGAATAATCTGCAATTAAAACCAGTCCAAAGTGGTGTTAACGGAACTTTTAAAGCATGTGACATCATCCATAGTATATCTAGTTGAACAACATGATGTAAACTTGGCGGATTGAGCATTTTCACATCATTTGATAATAGCAGTAGTTGATTTGTGAATCTGGGCTTTTTACTATACAAGGGTAACTCTGGGATTATGGCGTCAAAAGTACGCCTCTTCCGGCGAGTTTGTCGTATAACCCTTCTACTAGTTCCAAGAATATTATAGTTAGAATATTGGTAATTATTTCCATCATAGTTCGTTTTAGCTTTCTCAGTACAGGTTTCGTCATTAGTGTTTTCTTTATCTTCCGTTTCTGCATTATTGGTTTCGTCGTCATTGTGTTCTTCATTTTCCGTTTCTTCATTATTTGTTTTGTCGTCACTGTGTTCTTTATTTTTCGTTTTTTCATTATTCTTCTCATCGTCACTGTGTTCTCCATTTCCTGTTTCTTCATTATTAGCTTGTTCGTCACTGTGTTCTTTATTTTTCTTCTCATCATAATTGGATGCCTCATTACTGTTGTCTTCGTCCTCTTCAGCAACATCTTGAAACATGATGCCAACCGTATCATGCAATGTGTCTTTGCCGGTCAGAGTCTCCACGAAACGGTCGAAATTATCAAAAGCGAGGCCGGTATGTAAGTTTGGTAATTGTCTTATGTCTGGAGGACAAATTTGCGTATCAGTCATGCTCGAATACGTTGCTTCCGTTTCAAGTTCCTCCAAAACCCCATAGCTGCAACAATGTCCTAGCCGATTCATGATGTTCACTACTTTTCTGCTATTGGTGAGACTTTTTATAGTCAAACCCAAACTGATATGCTTAGACGTTTTTATAGCTCCATTGCTAACGGCATATATCATGTCTTCAGAAAATGATTTAACGAGCCTTTCACATTCGGTACTTTTCTTCTTTTTTAAATCGAAACCACTTAACAATGTCGACCAAAAAAGTATTAATAGTTCGGGTATATCGCATTCACCCTGTATCAATTGTTGTGCATTGAGCTCTTCTGGTAAAGTATTAGTGTCAATATTTTTAATTTCGTCCCTTAATGATATTGCGGCTTTCCTTATTATTGAATTAATTTTTAATCTTGAAATGAATGTATCAGCTAGTTCATTAATACCCCCATATGCAAGTACCGTTGATCCCTCCACTTCTAATATTTGAATTTTCTCACCAAAGGTTGCCAGCAATTTTTTTTTCAGGTAACTGGTACAAAATATTCCAACATCTAAGGAAACATTATCATATTGTTCCTTCAGAATTATTTGAAAATATTGGCATATATCGGAATACAATGCGCAACGTTTCTTGGACAAAATCTCCGCATTAATATATTCGCAAAGATTTTGATAAGCTTTCTTGTAGTGGTTGCGACGATCATGCCAGGCAGTATGTTTATCAGATAATTTTTTATTCATTTTGTTTAGATAACTTCGGTAGCAAACTTTATGATAGATAAAAGGTGAATTGGAAGCTACGTAGAAACTTAAATCCAATAAAACATCTATGTCGTTCACTTCAGTTGCAATAGTTTTCATTTTTTTCAGAAGCCTGTCGGATTTTGCAACAATTAATAATTGCAAACGGCCATTCCTCCTTTTATTGCACTTACGACAGAAGAAACATTTTTGATCAGGTTGTCCATGGAAATCTTTTAGGTCTTGAAGGTTACTGATACTTTTATTACCTGGTGTTCGCGCCCTCATCTGCTGATGTTCTCTGAATTTTTTGGTCTCTTTCGATATCGGCAGTGTGAACAGTAGCCGTGGAAGGTGAAATGGAACAGCAATAATCTAACGTCAAAGAAGGCTGTCCAGCACTGTTAGAAGGCTGTCCAGCACTGGTAGAAGGCTGTCCAGCACTAGTAGAAGGCTGTCCAGCACTGGTAGAAGGTATCAAAGAATGCAAAGGTGCACTCACATTAGTTGGAGGATGCTTTACTTTTGGTCTTGGTTTATATTTATTAAAATCTACAGCAGAAAATCGCCTGTAACATGAAGAATGATAGCCGGCTTCTCCATCATTCACAGCCTCTGGCATTTTAACGTTCTTGAATTTCAAATCGTTATATGTTCTGATTTTTAATATGTTTTTACATTTATCTAATAAAGATTCATTCTCGAAAAGCTTACATTTTTCATTTGATTCTTTCCGACAGAAAATGCATAAAGCCATCGTACGTAATCTGCTAGAAGAAAAATTATTATTTTTCAATAATACTAGCTATGACATACTTACGTTCTGTTATGTTCAACTATAGATCTCGGGAATAATGAGTATTTATTTTTTTTTTTTTATTTTTTCCAAGCAGCAAAAAATGACAGATCTGTCTGAAATTAAATTATAATTCCTGTATTCAGCAGACTCCCCTGTTGAACTGCTATGGCAACTGTCATTTTTCATCTATATGATTTAGAAAAGAATGAACAGTGAACGGGTTCAGTAAATAACTCAATAGTTCAGTGAAAAAAAAAAACGGATTTATGTAATTTTTTCCCCGAAAAAACGTCTTGTACTGATGTATCACTATTTCTTAACATATATTCTTTCGGCGGACATAAGCATGAAGTGGTGTAAAATGATTTTTCATTCCCTCATGAGACAACGCATTGACCTCCGTCTTGCATCCCGTCATCCCGCCGCAGGAAGTCTTGCATAAGTATCCAGTGGCTATTCTACATTCAAGCTTCAATCTAAATCGACAATGGATTGGTGTAAAATGATATTTCACCCCTCTCAAAAATTGACACTTTATATCTAATATTGCAACCCAAAACCCCCATGAAAACGTCTTGCATAGGTTGATCCAATTCTGTTTGTGTACAAATTAACTGAATAAATGAATCCAAGACGGTGTATAATTATATATTTTCTTCGTTTTTGACGACATCTTCTTAAACATTTTTTTCAGTGGAATCCCCCACTCCCATCTATTTCCTTGCACAAGTGCATTTCAGCTTCATGTTATCTAACTGATGATAACAATGCAAGACGGTGTAAAATGATTTGATGAAATAGGCGTCGTATCCCGTACTATTTAGTGCGATTTTTAAGGAAACATTGTCGACCACCTAAAAAAGGTTTCCTGAAAATTTCAGCTTGTCCCAAATTTGTTTCGGGTTAAACCCCTAGTTTTGCTGGCCTATGTTGGCTGATATAGAAACAGAGGAAAAATTTGTCATAATGTGTCAAAGTCGACAGGTGCACTTATTGTTGCTTGACAATTATTTTTACTTTTCCGCACTCAGTGCGGATACAGGCCTAATCCGCACTTATTGCGGAAAAGTGTAACTTTGAGAACGGAAATGCGTGCGAAAAAGTACTTCTTTGCGCACGCTCGTAGGAAAAGAATTTTTCAAGTTTCAGATAAACGGGGAAAAAAGTGCACATTTATCACACCTCATAACTTTTCTCAGAAGAGTGTGCAAAATTGTCTAAAATTAGATGAAACGGTAGTCCTGACAACCTGCCCACCTCTCGACCCGTCATATTTTGACAGCTGTCAAAAATTACATTTGACAGCTGTTGAATATTCCAAATTGTATTATTATCCGAACTTTAACTGTATGGAAAATTTCAGCAAAATGTATTGCGAAGAAATGGTTCACAAATCCGCATCTGTCACATTTGACAATTGACACCTGTCATTAGTGGTTTAAAATGTATTATCACCCGAACATAAAATGTATGCAAAATTTCAGCAAAATTCGTTGCGAAATAATGGTTCAAAAATCTGCACCTGTCACATTTGACAGTTGACACCTGTGATTGGTGGTCTAAAATGTATTATCACCTGAACTTGAAGTGTATCTATGCAAAATCCGTTGTGAAGAACTGGCTTAAAATCTGCAACTGTCACAATTTGACAGTTGACACCTGTCATTAGCGGTCTGAAACCTTCTTATCATTATTGCATTTCATTTGAAGTACATCGGTGGGATAGTTTCAAAGTCTATAACGGACATAGGTAGACACACAGACAGAAACAATTTTTATGTTTTACACCTCTATTTATTAGTAATAGAAAATTACTACCCACGAAAGTAGGTACATAACTATTTACCTATTTATTATTTTGTTTTTAATTATAATAATATTCTTATTCTATGGTAGGTATATGTATAAAAAGTACCTATATAAAACACAGACATTTAATTTGTTAAACAAAAGACAACTTGGCAACGCAGCCTAGCAAATACGCGTGCATTTAGTGCTTCAAATTAATTTAATCGCAGAAACGACTGATTTTACTAGGACACCAGCGTCATCACGCGGGTTTATATTTTCGCCGCCGGACGGCTCTTCTAGAGACGTTAGTCTATAATATTCTTTGATTGTACGAAACATTGTCCGTCGATAACTAACGCCACATCTTTATTAATTTTTTTCTGCAAATGCATTTTCTTGTTACTTTTTTTGTTTTTTGGGTCGGTTTATCCCCCTTCTGTTAAACTGTCAGGTATGCAATAGCAATATGCAACCTGATGGATAAAAACGCAATCTGTAATCTCATTGGTCAGCCAGTTATCCACCGACCAATAGAATTTTAGAACGGTAAATTTATTTAGCAGATAGTTACCAGCAAGTTTATCTGAAGAAGAATAAACCGAACCTAAATGTCTAATAAATGAGAATTTTTATTTTTGTTTGGGAGTTGCCTATCATTATCCAATTTTTTTTCCAAAAAATGGTACTAATAAAGTTAAATATAAAGTACTAAAACGAGCTATAAAGTCGAAAAAATTTGCCCAAAAAAACTTTTTTTGGGCGTGGCATCGTTTTTTTTTTTGCATTTAGGTACCTAGTGCTTTTTTTCCACTCACCTGTCCCAAAATTTCAGATGTGTACAGCATTCATACAAAAAAAATATGGTCACCCTAATTTAGTCTCAGTTTTGGTGTGGATTCAGTTCTATTTACTTTTTCAAAGTCCAAAATTTCAAAATGCAGATTCTTTTTAATTATAGGGTGACCATACGTACAGCATTTCGCTGTATTGTACAGCATTTTGAGAGTCTGTCCAGCATTTGATTTTGTACAGCAAACGTACAGCGATTCGGATCATCTATAGGTGGGTTTATACAGCCACATAACTGTTATGTATCCAAACTTCTAAATGATACACGTTTAATAACTGGAGAACGTTAATTCTATTTAAAAGACACTAAATTATGGAGAACATGAAACTAACGTTATTTCTAGACTAATGACTTGACACAACTGTCCTATTGACATTAGGGGAGTACATTCATAAATTAAATTAATATAAAACCAAGGTTCAAACACTACATTTTCTCCTCCTACTTTAAGATTCATTATAAATCCAATTTAAGTGGTTTTTTAATTGTTCTGCCAGATCTAGTAGTATCACTAGGATTATTATGACTTGGAGGATCTATTGTTTTGCTTGAAACAAACACACTACTTGGTTTAGCATATTTTTGAGATCTGTCACATTTGGGTAGGGCCACAAAACATCCCCCCTTAGAAAGGTAAGTGCCGTGTTGAGAACCTGTCTATAAGTTTTCAGCGCCTCTAGTGACTGGGGGGGGTAAGCTTTTGTAATTCTGGATTTATTGGCGAATGCAAAACGCAATTAGGGTTCGTTCGGTATCTTATTTGTTCCGGTGGATCGTTTGCACCATTGTTTGATTCTAGCGATTCAACACCACCACTTTAAAGTTTCTACCATTTTTTGGCATAAAATAATTGTGCCAAAAAGAAGAAACTCATAAAATCGGTAGTGTTGAAGCGCCTTCAAGGTAAAATTGACTAAAAATTAAGATGACAAATTTAGATATTTATTAAAGTTTGAAACAGAAAATATTAAAGAATATGGAATTAATTACAATTATTGCGAAACAGTTTTTTTTCATGTAAGTATACATACATAGGTAGGTAATGCTAGTTAAGTTAAAGATAATAAGGACAGTTACAAGAAGTAATGACGTACATTTAACAATAGCTTGATGAAAAACTTAAATCGTAAATAAAATGACAAAAGAGGTCCTTTTCTCACAATCCAAAATCGTTGTTAACCTAACAAGTGAGGAAAGTGTTTCTGCACGTGATGGAAGTTGCACGAATGACAACAAAAAGCAGAGTTCAAACAAGCCTTTAAGTCCAGAAAATACACTTTCCGCATGTGTTAGGTAGAAAGTTTATGTAGTTATACATAATATAAAGCTCATTCAAGAAAATGATTTCGCCTGGATGATAGAATAAATATTTTTGATAATAGTCTATACCCTTTACCACTAGCTTTAAGCAAAGACAACGCCAACAACTTCTCGTCCAATGTAAATCGTCTAGCTTTAGGCTTTTGGTTTTGAGTACGGACTTGGCTTAAAATAAAGCTGTATATCAATGGATTGACGTGGTCTACGAGCCTTTGAAATTTGGTTTATGATGCAAGTTATTCAGCAGTAGAAACTTTGGATTTAAATGACGACAACCTTCTACTGATTCTTCTTAACTTATTGCTGGATTCTATAACTTTGGAATAAAGATATTTTCCCCTTGGGGATAGGAATTTTTTGCCTAGTGACGTTAATGTTCTTTAAAATTTGGCATCGTCTCTCAGGACCTGCAAAAAAAAATAGATCAAGATTGGAGACGAGCTTTTCGCACATTTAGCTTCTAATTTTTCTAGCATTCGACTGCAAGTTTTAGTAATTAGTAGTCTTTTATAGTAGTAGTCCTACTTGTGTTAGGATGTTTTAAAATTCACCTACTCCCAACTGGGTGGTTATTCATTAAGCAATAACAGTTAGGTACCTACCAATAAAAGTTTTAAGAGACAAAGTGGGTTGGTGACTTTTTCATGTTTGCAGATGTGATGGTTCCACTTGGTGTAGCAATGTCTGCCCGAATTGCAGAAGAGTCAGTAGATAAAAATTGACGACATGAAGGGCCTGGTTGATCTAAAACAGAAATTTCGTTACCAACGATTCTACCAAAAAAGTTTGGATACATACATATTAGAATATGGTGTACCTGTATGTAACCAGGAATATTTTAATTATTGTGTCTCCTGATAAA